CGTCAAAGGCCGCTACATAAGGAAGTGGGAACTGCTACTGAAAGTTGGCGTACTGTTGCTGTATGTGCTGCTATGATAAAAAAAAAACGTCATGTAAAGTATACTTGGATACATTAACTCGTCGGTAAACATATTCTCTTCCTCAGGTCTGATTTTTATTTGAATCGTATTGTTCCATCAGTTCAGTCCCTTTGCATCTTGGTTTGTTAAACTGAATATTTCTGTAAAGGAAAGCAACCTTCTATTGCTTATATGTTGCATTAAACTAAGAGCAGAAATCAAATCACATAATTTTTATCACACTAAATAAATAAAGACATCCTGTCACAATTCTCATTGCAATCCCATGATGCACTGGCTGAAGACTTTTCTCTCACACTTTTTCATTCAGGCTCTCAGTAATGACGAGATACCTTTTAACTTCTCAGCCAGAGTCAGCATCAATTATTTATCGTCATCTGTTTAAAATTTAAAGTGCCACACATTAACGTCCTCTCGCACCTGCTCTTTCACGCTGTCCACCCTCCACTGGGCTGCTTCCTACACCAATCCCTGTCTCCCTCTTTCTCTTCCTGTCTCTCTCTCTCTCTCTCTCTCTCCTTCCTCAAACTATAATAAAGACAATGACAATGGGTTCGCTCTCACCGCTGATCCAGGGATGTTAAATCAAACGGGGGCAGAGGAGGCGACAGACCACATAATGTAAGACCATCGTCCAGACGCCTCCGATTACGCTTTGGCCTTAATTGGTGGCGGTGGCAAAAATGATGAATTCTTTAACAGTGCCGTGCGGTTGTGCCTTTTTGAACACAGCAAAAGGCCTGAGGAGGATGGCTACTCAGTGCAAATGGAAGCTGACAGAAAATCCACATGGCACGACCGGTCTAGGAGGGAAAAAAAGGGGCATGACAATGAATAAGGGGCCCTGTGCTCTTAGGTAGCTCGCAGGGAAGATGTGTATAATTAAGCGGTCTGCATCGTGGTTCAGATGGCAAAATCCTATTGTCTTGACAGGAGCTTAAGGTTGCCCTTTAGGTTGAGATGCGTGGCAGCGCTCGGGCCTCATTTTTCCTTTTTTTCACACTCCTCCAGACCTCTGCGACCAAATTAATCTGCAGTTTTAAAGCTTGAATAAATCCAGTAAGTTAGGGATCTGCAGATCTAAAGGCCGTCTGTCCCTCAGGCTTTTTTTTTTTCTTCTCCATTTTTTTTTTTATTTCCTTACCCCCCTCTCCTTTGCCCACAGAGATTGGCTGGCAGCACTCGGTGTTATCTCCAGGGAGGCAAAGGTTGGGGGGGATGGGGTGAAGGCCACAGATTCGCCCTTATCTATTCTGAGCACACCTAAAACAAATTAGACCTGGCTGCCGTGCCGTATTTGGCTTCCTTGCTCTCATTAAGGGGCTGAATCCAAGCTATTTTCCTCAAGGTCCTGCTTTCTAGCTTTTTGGGCCTTGTTTTTATCACAATAGCAAAGGTTTCCAGGCAGCCTTGCCACCTTTTCATCTCCCCCATTTCATGTAGTCATTTCAACGGTGCACAAAGAGCAGTGAGGGAGAGAGGGAGGGAAAGACCGTCCCCTTATACACTATAGGATGCTGTTTTTTTTTCCTGCTCAGGGTTGATGCTGGCCTTTGACATTTGATAATTGAAAGAAGAAATCTGTTGTTTGCCCTTTTCATGCCTTTTTTTTTTTTTTTTACACCATTCTACTAAAATCATAAAGCATTCTTGATTGTTTTTATTTCAAGGACTCTTGCTTGCTGTGCTACAGCTCTGGTGTTAAGGTCAAATAGTTTCTCTCAATGAATGCAACAACACATTGAACTGGCACATTAAACGAGGAGTCTAGACTTCTCTCAAACTTCAGAGGTATATTGCTTATATTGTATACTGCTTTAGCAATGTTAGCACGGTTTACATCAGATTCCTGAATATCAAACAATGTTGTAAAACTTGCATTTCATGGTCATTTCCGTCAATAGGTAATTAGGATCATAGAGAATAAAGTCTGACTATTGTCACATTTTTTCTAAAATGTTCTGACGTCCCCTCTCTCTGCTTTGGGCATTAAAAAAATCCCTAAACTTAAACAGGAGAAGGAGAATCAATGTTTGGGTGAACTGCTGGAAAATAATGTTCATACGAAAGCCACTAACTTGTGATAAGGGGTCAGCACTAGATTTTCATTAAGTTTAGGCCCCTTCACACCTAAAGATTGGGAAAACACTGCCTTAGAAAATGACAGGATTACCTCACACCATTTCACTTTTAGTGCTTAAATGTTGATCAACACCAGACCTGAAAATCATGCCTTTTACATTCTCAAAATTAAGTGCATGGCTAGGACGATTTCTCTAACCTCAATGCAGAAGTCGGAGTGGAGTTGAGGTAAACATGTGAGGTAAACAGAGGAGAAGACACAGCCTGCCCATATTTAAGCATTACTGCATTTGAAAGTTAATGAAGGACCTTTGAGCTATAGGAGCTCAAGCTACGCAAAGGTAACGGCTCGGGAAATGTTAGGTTAGATGAGATTCCTTTGCCAGACTAATCCATCCTGGAGCCTGAGAGCAGCACAGACACAGAGAGAGAGAGAGAGAGAGCGAGCAAGCGAGCGAGAGAGAGAGAGACGGATCTGCAGCAGCACAGCACAGCAGTGACACAGGGCAATTCTCTAGGGCCTTGCATTAGCGCGCTAAATTAAAGGGGGTATTAGATTAAATTGGCTCTCCGATTTCAGGGGTGTGAGTAAAATTCTGATTTGCATTTTCCACCGCTGCTTAAGATATAATTAGTTCAGGGTGATTCCCATGTGGAAAACACTGACAGCCAAATCTAACTGGCTGCCAGTAGCTTATCGTCTTCTTCCGAGGCAAAAGGTGCACTCAGATCATGTTTGTGTTTGTCAGTGTTTGGTAGGTGTGAGGATGCATATGTGTTTGTGTGCAAAGAGTGAGAAAATATCTCCTTTTTAACTGACTTCAGGACGTGATTTGTCCCACTTCTCAATCAAATCCCTCTGAACCGAGAGCGACCATGTAAACACCACTGAAGAAGAACTCCATGTTAAAGCCCATATAAATGTTTGTGGAAGCATAAGCAACACTTCACACCTCTGAGACGCCTTTAAACTCCAAACCTATTTCCGCAGCAGAAGGTGCACCTGTAATTACAGATGCAGAGTCAAAAATAACAATTACAGCCGCACAGCTCCATCATACGAATTACTGAACTCTGTGGAGCAAGCTTTTAAAAGCAAGTGTGGATCTGTTTGGGAGGGGGGGGGGGGGCGGCCTTCACACCCTCTGTAATTCTAACTGTCTTTGCAAATGGATGTTTTCCAAAAGTGAGTGTACCCATGAATTATGAATGTGAAGCCAGCTTCCTGGACACCTGTTTGGGACACCTGCTGGTACATGATATCAGCAGTCAACATTAAATGAGTTTCCGATTGTCACTTCTGTTGTTTACATGACATGTCCAAACCTTTAACCCCTAGCCCGTCAGACTTTTTTGAAGTCTTAAACCCTAATTCTCCCGCAGTTGTCCACACTGAAGGAAAAGTATTTTAGCTGCATCAGATTTCCTCAGAAAGTTTCAATTATAAGGTGTGTTTCAACAATGTTTGTCTCCACAAGGTGTATGTGCGGTATAATGCCTGACCTAACATGTGATTAGAGAGGAACAGACATTTGGTCTATTGATTATTCTTTAGTTACAAAGTGGTATGTCCTCTGTGATTGGGACATGCTTTGAAACCACGACTGAACAAACAGAAAACTTAGAGAACAAAATAGGCTTAAATGGTATATCTTATGTCACACGATGCATACACCATGCTTAAAACAAGGCTCAATATCTGCATTCAGGTACAATTTCAATGCACTTGAAAATCTTTCAGAATGTTCGGATCAACAGCAAAGAAAAGGCCCCATCAAATGTGATATTCAAATCCTGAAATATGACAAAATCTCAGCCAACCACTCTCTGCACATATTTAAACAGGCATCAGACAAAGTTTACCTCTTATTCTCCTCTCTGTGTAATTATTTAATTAATGAGCAGATCATCCAGCTTCAGGTTGCATGTGCTGGTGACTCATCCACAGAGACTCATGTAAAGTCAGACAAGTTCAAACTCTCAGAGTGAAGAAAAACAAATCTGCAACTTAACATTCATATTCTGCCTGTGCCCTTCATAACCAAACGGCAGCTTCAAAATAAATCAATTTAAATGAACCTTTAAAGAAAAAACAACACAGCCTCTGATTGTGTCCTAATGAAGCCTCTTGCTACTTGTCAATTAAGCCGCTGCTTAAGATGTTTTCCTCTCTCCTAGGTGACACTTCTTTTCCCTGCGTCTGCACCCTCCTGATATACATCACCCTCCAGATTGATCCATAATTGGCCATAATGACACAAATGTAATATAAAATGATTTCATCTCAGCCCTTGTGTATATGCAAAATCAATCCATACAGGATCAGTGGGAGAGGATCAGCCCCCCTCCCCACATAAAAACTTGGGGGCTGTTATGAGAAACACCGTCAGCAGCCCTGCCATCACTCTCAGCATCTCTAGGTGGTCGGAGGCTGAGGCTTTGTGGGATATTGATTCTCCCCATCCAGAGACGGTTTCCATAATTGGTTAAAATGACCGGGTGCAGAGAGGGATGGCTCTCTGCTGAAAACCATTTCCCAGCCCTGCTTGGAGCTGAGCCAAGCTCAGGGTTGTTCGGATGCGTTCCAGCCCCAGCCTGACTGGCAGCAATTAGGGGTGTCTGAGCCAAGCTCAGCTTGCGCTCCACACAAACACCCCTAATTACTGCCAATTAGGCTAGGCGGGTAGGCAGATTTGAGAAGCCGGGGGGATGTTCAGGCATGGGTGGGCATGGAAACAATTTTCAAGGGCTTAGAACGTGACTGGATGAAAAGGTTAATGCTTTGGAGTGCGAGGGGATAATAACAAAAGAAGGGGAAGCAGAGCCCCGGTTCTCACCTCCAGCGACGAGCCTGGCTTCTTCTTCAGCTCCTCGCATTTCCTAAATTTGCAGATCTGGTGGCCCGTTTTGCGGTTCCGACAACTGCTGCAGACACCACAGTTGATTAGCCGCCTGCAGGGTGCACAGACCCCACACCTTTTCCTTTTCTTCTTCGCCGGGTTTCCACTGGATACCGAGGAATTATTCTGTGGGCAGTCTGCCAGATTGGCAATTTGAAACGCACTGTCTGTAACGGCTGCTGAGGCTGCGGGGGAGTGAAGGGCTGTCATGACGATGACCCCAGGAGGTAATGAGATGCCCCCTAAAGCCGGGATAGCGGAAAAAGTTCCAACGCGTTCTGGGAGATTCATTATCTCTGCTTCAGCAGCGCCGCATTTCAGCTTGTTCATGCATTCTCCTGCTAAAGGTCTGCAGTGTTCGGGGGATAAGGTAGAGAGGAAATTATTATTTGCCATTTGCAGCGTCTCTGGCGGCACGCCAGGCTTCCCCGGCCTCTGGGAGTCATTTCTATGCATGCTGGTCCTATTAGGGTTTATTGCCGCTGATTTCCTTCCCCAGAGCATGGCGTTATCGCAGTTCCACGGGGACATGCCAATTCTCGCACTGGGAAAAATGGGCGTTGTGATGCGGGCAATCTTGGCAGTCTGTGGAAATGCCCCATTGGTTTTATAAAAGTTCGCAAAAGACCTGTACCTTTCCATTTCTGCGTTATAATCCAAAAGCTGGCTTAATCCACCATCCTGGAGATTATCCTTTTGTAAGAGAGACACTTCTGAGTTCTGTATGTTTTCAATGCAAAGTGCATTGTTTATGTTAGACATGGCGGAGGAACAGTAGTCGATGTTTGGTAGGAGAGTGTGAGGTTACAGCGGCCTTTGTGGAACGGAGGCTGGTTACCAACAGTGTGTTACCATCCTGGTTTATCTTCTCCAGAGCTAGAAGCAAAACAAACAAACAAACAAAAACAAAAAAACAACAGTTACACATAAAAGAGGCAAATGTTTTCATTTGAATCAGATTTCATTCCTCTGCTTCAACTTTTCTGCGGAACATTTGAAGACTTCTCTGACTTGTTGTTTACGCCCTGCGTTGTACGCTGAAACTATCACAAACAGTCAGAACTGATCTCCCTCTCATGACAATATGTGATCGCTGTGACAGACCAACATGGCATTATTTTAATGGGGAAAGTATTAGCATTTCTCAAAAGAAAAATACCACTCTTTCAACATGTTTGGATGTCTTGTCAAAGAATTCTTACATATTTTTGAAGAAAGTCCAATCAGCGACTTCACAGAATGAATAAATACATTTTAATACACAAGGGGACGTTTCATCAAAACACAGAAATTGAATATTCAACTGGAAAAAAAAACACACTTTTTTTGAAAAGTTAGAGAAGAGCCTGAGCAGAATTCAGATTATGGCAGCAGAAGCTACAAACTGAGATATTTGACTTCAGGCCTGTGATATAAGCTCTTAAAAATAATCTGCTTTGGGTGCCAGGAGGAACATAGTTAAATATATTTTCTTTCTCCTTTTTTTTCCATCTTATCAAAATAGCGAAGGTGGTCCATGCATGTAAAGTCTACTCTGTCTAGCCTTTTAGGAGCTCCTGGTGTTCATCCATGGCGATGTACTCAATAACAGCACAGATAGCCACTGCTGGATTTACATCCAGCTCATGGACCAGACCAACAGCGGTGTCATCTGCCTCAGGATGGGATGTGTGTCAGCGTGTGTGTATAGGTGTATATGTGTCTCCATTTCCTCCCTCTCTCTCCAGCAGTCTGTCTGGATTTGGTTTCCACAGATAAAAGCCCATTAGACACATCTCCCTCTACTTCCATTACCTTTTTCTGGGCTTTCTCTCTTAATTGCCAAAGCTGATCCATTGCTGGAACACTAAAGCATTTCAAATCACTTCCATGGTGCTACCCAGCAGCTGTCTCGGGAAAAAATGAACATAAATATGCAGACATGGAAGTGGAGAGATCTCACTGGGTGGCTTATTAAAGTCATCCTGTCATCATACTGGACTGCATGCTTGAGCAGGTAAACATGTCCACATAACTATGAAGACAATAATAAATGCCCGCTTCAAAAAGATTTTTTTTACATTTTTTACAAGTCCAAAAACATTAAAATGTATATAAAGGTCCAACAACCATTCTTTCACATATTGTAAGTTTGGATTGCACAAATGTGAAACCAAGAGTCCTCCTAACCAGCCTCCAATCCAGATCTGCAGGTTCAATGTCGATGTGGCATCCACAACACCCTGCAAACCGGCAGTAAACAAAACCTCCTTGGTTTAATGATCAGCCCTCCTCAGGGTCATTATTACTTAATCAATTCACCCCTGGAGCGAAATACGCAGCCCAAAGGCAATCAAGTCACGGACATTGATTTCTCAGCCTGTAAACAAAGTTTAGAGAGACAGAAATGTTCAATACTTGGAGCTGGTGAGAGACACGGAGTGAGGAAGGAAGTAGAGGGGGAAATAAAAAGGGAGAGAGAAAAGTAAAAGAGCCCGCACGTCCGATGACGAACCATTGTGCCTCTGCTGCTGCACCACGATGCCTTTAATGACACTCAGTCTGCTGCGAGCTGGACATTCAGATCAAAGGTCATGCACAGATAATCCCAGGAGGAGAGAGCGGTGCAAGAGTGCAAATACAATCCTATAAAAAAATAATCTGACGTTGCTATGATCACTTGGCAGCCACATGTACACAAATCCGGACGGGAATACGGGGGTTAAAACGCATGCAAGTGGACGGAGAAATATGGACACACACACACACACACAGAAAGAGAGAGCGAGAGGGGGGGGGGAGAGGGAGAGAGTGAGCATCACCTACCTGGTTCCTGTAAAGAAAAGCTCCCAAGATACTACCAGCCTGCGTCCTCGTAACGAAACATTACCGCGAAATAACGCAAAGATGCGAGAAGACGCACGAACACCAGGCTGCCGGAGGAGGAGAGCAGGGCGCGCGGCCGGATGCGTGTTAGTGTGTGTGTGTGTGTGTGTGTGTGTGTGTGTGTGTGTTGTCAGAGCGCTCAAAACAAAAGGAGCATTTTTATCGAGTTTCTGGTGACGGTAAAAAAAAAAAAATAAGGTTGGAAAGTGCGTAAAAAACGAAAGAAAGGTGCAAAAAGAGAGGAGGGGAGAAATCGCACAGGGGGTGAGGTGTTTCCTCTCCTCCTCGTGATCCGGGGGCTGTATTGTGTGTCTGCCTGCTCTCTGCTCGGTCCGTGTCTCCTGTCGCTGTGTGTGGCTGATTGGTGCTGAGGTGAGGAAGCAGGGATGTGGACACCTACTGATCATTGGCTGGAAATTACTATAGAAACATTCGGGAGGTGGGAGGGAGGGATTGATGGCTCAGGGCGCCCCACAGGGAGCAAATTATCCACGCGAAATATCTGCGTCTTGTAGTGGCCTTTTTTATTTTAACTATTTTTTTTAAATTATTATTATTATTATTTTTCACTATTTCCTTCATGACGGGGCATTTAAAGAGGAAAGGGAGCAGGATGGTGTCATTTGAGATGCGTCTTTTAATAAGGATGGGGGAAACTTGTCATATTAATTTGAATGGAGCTGAGCTGTGATTAAGATAAAATGCCTCCGCCGGGTTGCACCCCCCCCCTCCCCCTCCCCCTCCCCCCATCCCCCTTCCTCCGTCCAGAGACAGCCATAATTACTGAAACCTCCGGGATTCATCACCACAATAAATCCCGCCTGCTGGCCACCCATGCCTATACAGCTCCCACAAGCTGACAACACGCGCACGCATGGCATGTTTGTTCCACGACCCCCCCCCCCCCCCCCCCCCTCCCCTCCTCCCTCTCTCCCTCCCTGCACGTTCATTCATGTTAAAGCCTATAAGCTTTGAGTTTAAATGAAAATAATGAGTCCAATCACTGCCCGCATTTTCCCACATCAGCATTCATCCATGAGTCTCGGGAGGGGAGTTGAGAGAAAAGTTAACATGGGACCATCGCTTCTGTAACTCCACACTATGACTAATTAATTATTGATGACACTGAAAAAACAGGTTGTAGGAGCCAGGGACTATACTTCTTTTTTAAGAAGTTGGAGAAATACTTTTTAGGCTGTAATGTGACTTGTTATTTTTACCACTAAAGAAGAAAATAAAACTGAAGAAGAAAAGAGATCAGTTTCTTTACAGAATTAGCTGACTATCACATTTTTAAGTTCTCTGTTTTAATGTATAGCTTTATTGAATAAACACATGATCAGATAAGAGGTGTTTAAAGGCTGAAAAGTAATTTGTGTTTTCATGTTGTGGGAAATCTCCATGTCTAGAGTTCTTCTGTTGATTTGGTTGGTATTCAGTTGAATAGTTTGGAGCCGTTTGCATCAGTTGATGAAGTTTTTCACTGTCTGAAGAAAACCAATCTACAGCTATGCCATTGTTAAGTGATCAATAATAAAGAGGTGGACGGTTGACATCTGGTTAAAGAAAATCTGCAGCCTAATCTTAAAATTGGTTGAAAGTTGTTTTTATGCTCTTATTGGGTATTCTCTAAGTTTGAATTACCAGCAGGAGTCTACTGGATGTGGAAGGTATAAGATCCCAGCTTTTACATTCAGTTCACCATCCAAAGCCACTTGTTCCAAACAGACATGAACTTTCTGACTACAGCTGAAGTCCATGAGAAAGAGCTCAGTGCATTGCTGCCGTTGCCAGCTGTATACAACTACCGATCTCTAACGTTCTTGTGGAACTAGCTTTCTTGTTTTGAACATGTGGCTTTAGCTCTAGGACTGTTTATTAGCAATGGGTGCACGGGCAGAGTGTATATAGGTAGACAGGTTGGTATAGGGAAGCTGACAGATGAGCAATAGGACATGCTAACTAAAAGTCCCTCACAGAAACCGTCTTTTTCTTTTTTGTCAGAGAACTTGATGTATTCTTTGCTGTGGGATGTGGAGAGAGATTCAACAAAAAAAAATATATATCTGCGCTAGCTTCAATGGCTGTATAACTGATCCTAAAGAAATCATCTGAGTGCTACTAAGGAGGATTATAATTATGATTATAATGATACACATTATCTTCTTGATTAAGATGACAGAACATGTCTTTTACAACTTCTATTAAAAGTTAGCTGATGCTTAAATTGATGTTTAATTTGTTTTTATTTCCCTGAGCAACTGTAAAAAAAAACAAGTGTTTTCATGTTTTACATCAGAGAATATTCAGTAAACCAGTAAATATTCATAGAACCAGTTAAGGTTTGCCTTAAAATGGACTTTCTACAACTGGAGCTCTTTTCTGTCAACGGAGAGATCAAACAATCTGTTAATCATTCGGGCTCCACATGACCTATCAGTTAAAGTGACATGTGACAGAGGAGAAAACAGTCCCTAGCTTCTTCTTCTTTGAGACAGGTTTAAGCGTGAGTAAACAAAGTGACAGCTACACTGTCACATTTCTAAGGCATGCAGCCCCTGCAGGTGAGCCGTGTGACACAGGCCTTCAGGCTGCTAAAGGCTACACTTTAATGGATTTATTGAGAGCTAGGATCACATAGGAGAGAGGAGAAGGAAAGAGTTTAACGCTAAATGTTTTTCAATCAAGTGTAAAAATCTGTGATTCTAAAATAGGCAAAGTTAGGAGAGGAATAAATGGATACATTAACGGTTACATCATGACTCCAAGAAGAGGTGATGCGGGTTATTGTCTGATTTTTGGATTGATGAGTTGACTTGATCAAACACCTGTAAGTCTCCCTTTCACACCTTCAAATTATTAAACCACCCGGCCCTAAATCGTACTCTTTATAATCATTAGCTGTCGAATCGTCTTTTTTAATTGGCTGTTGATTATTGTGGGAGTGGTAATCTCTTAAAACAGACCACGTGGAGAGCAAAGGGACCAAACTCATTGGCCTCAATGAAATCTCATGCGGGCAATCAGAAATCTCATTCTAACTGCAGTCACCTGAAATAGATTTAGCTTTTTATTCATTTATTTTCTCTACATATCCTCCATTCTGGTTTCCCAGGCAGGTTGGACTGTAAAGAATGTGCAGCACAGAGTAACGGATGTCTCGTCCTCTTATTTCTTTTATCTCGCGTCAGAGGAAGTATGAGAAAACCGGGCGATGCTCCCATGCAGGAGGCTTTTATTGTCGTGACACCCTCAGACAGTCCACAAGGGGTTCAAAAATTGCCCTTTAAGCTGTCGTGAGTCGTTGTGGGCACGGTGACGTTCATACATCTAAATACTGAAAGATTTTTAGAAAGTGCAACAGATGCTGGTCACTGAAGCCCCGATGCAGCCGCAGTGGAGCTTTTAACAGAAATCGGTGTCTCGACCAGAGTAGGTGTTAAGGTCAATAAACATGACTCTGTTGCATCTTCCACTGCAGATGCCATACTCTGTGATTACTATGAAAATGGGAGACATGGCTTTATATCGTTCCTCAAGTATTTCTGTCTTCATGGAGGATGTATTTGTAATTACTTATCAAGAAAATGATTTTTTCTGTACTTTGAAACTTGTACTCTATGATGTAAATTGAACAAAACATCAAAATCCTCCCTCTTCGTTGACTCAGGCAGGTTCAGGTTTAGGTTACTTCATTTGTACCCGTATAGGTACATTTGGTTGCAGGGAGAGTCACACAAACTTTATAAAAAAAGAGACAATACGTAAAACATATGAAGTGCAAATGCACGGTACGTGGGAAAAAGTGCGGAGGTGCATAAAGTGCACAGGTTCCAACGGTACAATTGATAAGAAAAAGTTAATCTGTAAAAGTTACAGAGCCGAGAACAGTAAAATAGATAATAGATAAATAAACAAAGCATTAAGAAGCATGCCATCAGCTTCCCAGCCTGCTATCTCTGTCCCTCCATATAAGACCTTCATGAAATGACAACGACCACATCAAGCAGCAAAGAGGATAAAGATGAAGAGAGAAACAAAAACAATACATGACACAGATTCCGAACACTTGTTTCGTTCTTTAATGGCTGCTGGGACAAAGCTGTTCCTATAGCGCTTTCTTCTGCACTTTCGTCCAGAAGGAATGAGCTGAAACTCACAACGCAGAGGATGGGGACTCATCTTTTAAGATCAGGTAATCAGAGTACTAACAAGCAAAAGGTCCTTCACACACTTTCTGGCTGTACTCTTTTGTCCTCAACCACAATAGGTATTTTTTTTCCACTAGATGTTTCACAATGAAAACAACAACATAAGTAAGTTTAATTGTCTCAAGTCTCTGGGGAGAGCACCAGCTTAGGGATAGAACGCACATCAAGCCACAGATAGTTGTTCTCCAACAACAAGTGGAACAACATGTAAGGATTCGAGGTATGATATAATAGAAGCGTGTTGTAGTGGATTGTTCGATGACAGATTTCTGAGAAACTGAAAACTGCTGCTGAAAAAATACATTGTATTGTACACTGTAGCATCTAACAGGCTTTGTTTTTGGCAGAGGAATAAAATGCTTCAAAATAAAAGCAACTTTACCTTAACTAAAATAATGAAGTCTTCTTTATTCGAACATTTTGGTTAGTATAGGTACACAGCTCAACAAAATATTACAGTCATTTATAGAAATTTGAATGTAGAAAAGTTAAATGCAATGGCTTAAAACTGAAGGTTCATCATGCTTTACCCTCTTTTTTGTCCAGCTGGTACACATGAGTTTGGTGTGTTTTTGTTGTTGTGCTCCAGTCACACTTTAAAAAAAAAAAATACATTTGTCTGTACTTCGTCTAAAATAATGATGAATCAGGACTTTTGTTCTTTGACACGGCTGACACACATCAAAGACAGTAACCCTCCTTGGAGTTTTATTTTCTTTGGTATCAGACTCTGTGAGTCTGTGTGTATCTGTGTGTGTATCCGAGTATGTGTGTGCGTGGAAGCTCCTCCGTCTGAAAATCATTTTATCTTCTGGGTGATAATAGCCCCCAGGGGAAATCTGCCTAGGTGGTCCTAACCTCTGTCTTCAGAGCCTACAGTGTGCGAGTCTGTAGCCGTGGGAGGCTTGAACCCTCGTGGCAGGCCTTTGTTCCTGTCTGCGTGCACCGCTGTCGCTCCCCCTGCGCCTCCTCACCCCCCCCCCCCGTTTTTTTTCACTGGGCTTTCAACTGAACTCTGACGAATAATTAATAACCATGACCCCACATTTACATGTAGCCCGCATTTAGTCGATGGAAATGGAATCAGGGAGGAGTGAAGTCATAAGACATGGGTGTTTGA